TCTAGAAAGGTTGTCTATGTGGGGCCACACAAACACTCATTCAGCAGAAGGATGTTTTCAATGGAAAAGCAGCTTGCCCTGTGACTTGCTAAGGTAGAGAAGCCATTCTGGGTTCTCTTGCTAAAATCTGAGCTATTAAAGCAAAAGAGAAATCCCTTTTCCAAGTAGGACTGTGAGTGCAGATACACTGCTTGGGTTTGTGTCTTACTTTTTCCCAATCTGTAGTTATGTGGCCTTGGACAAATTAGTCACGTTTTGTACATTTTGTAGTTTGTTTTTTTTTTTTGGCCAGGGCTGGGTTTGAACCTGCCACCTTCAGTATATGGGGCCGGCTCCCTACTCCTTGAGCCACAGGCAATGCCCTTGTTTTATACATTTTGTTAAATGTAAAACAAGAGCAAAAATAGTATCTGCCTCACAACAGTTTTATAATATTTCACAGTATAATATTTGTAAAGAGTTCAGAACAGTATGTGGCACCTGTGGCTCAGTGATTAGGGCACTGGCCCCACATATCAAGGGTGGTGGGTTCGAACTCAGCCCCAGCCAAACTGCAACAAAAAAAAAATAGCTGGGTGTTGTGGCAAGAACCTATAGTCCCAGCTAATTGGGAGGCTGAGGCGAGAGAATCACCTAAGCCTAATAGGTGGAGGTTGCTGTGAGTTGTAACGCCATGGCACTCTACCAAGGGTGACAGAGTGAGACTGTCTCTAAAAAAAAAAAAAAAAGAGTTCAGAACAGTGCCTAAAACCTACCATATTTTGTCAAATCTAAGATGCTGTTAATTCAGAAGTATATTGCTGTTGTGTGCATTCCTAAGAAGGAAAAACAGTGCCAATTATTTTAAGATGCTGTGGTTGTATCACTTACTGATATAAATAGAAGAAAAAAATATATCTTAAAATCAGTGAGGTCCAATAAATAAATAAAATCCTGTACTGTGTAAATAAATTAAATGCTGGATGAAGCAAGCTGATTATTCAGGGCAGTGAGGATGGGTCCTACATTTGAATAGGAAAAAACCCATCTGCATTTGTGAATGTTTATCTAAATAGCAACAAAGCTCTAAGCAAACCATGATATTACTGACTGTCCACTTTATTTCTTGACTAAACCAAGAAGTTACTAAAACTTTTTTTTTTCCATTTTCTTAATGAGGTTTAAAGTTGCCTTCATTATGAACTCTCTAGGGTCATTGAATAATCTAATCAAGGCATGATAGTTGTTATGACCTGCGTTTTTGTATTCTCCTCAAATTCATGTTGAAATACCTGCAATGTGACTATATTTAGAGATAGGGCCTATCGGGGGTGATAAAGGTTAAATGAGGTTGTAAAGGTGGGCCTGCAATTTGACAGAGCTAGCCCACTTATAAAAAGAGGAAGAGACACCAGAGCTCGCTCTGTGCTGCATGTGAGGGCAAAGCAAGAAGGTGGCTGTCTGCAATCCAGGAGAAGAGCCCTCACCAAATATCAGATTGACTGATAGCTTGAGTTTGGACTTCCGTTTCCAGGACTGTGAGGAATAAATGCCTGTTTTAAAAGCCACAGAGGCTATGGTATTTTGTTATGGCAGCTCAAGCCAGCTGAGACAACAACCAATGGGGAGGGTAGTCTCTTGAGAGTTATTGTGGATTAATTCATCCTGGCCTCCAGACATGGCTGTCAGTTATTAGGGAATGTTTGACCTGAAGGCACTTATTTGCAATTGGAAGCCAAAGACAATATCTCCCCACCAGCCCTTCATGGTCCTACTTTTCTGTTTACTCAATGCTAAAGTCTCCAGTTATTTTACTGACACTATAAATACTATTATTTTTACAGTTGTATACATGTCCTATGAGAGATTGACACTCTTGTCATGAACATTCAATTAGGTTTATGGTTTTAATCACTTCTAAAGAGTCATGCATTCTTCAGTAGTAGATTAGAAACTTTCTCTCTTGCTAGGAGTTTGATTCTCTGGGCTTTGCTTCTGCCTCTGTGTATTTTATAAGTGAAACTTTGCCTGAGTATTTGTTCTTACCAGTCATTGCTTTTGCTTCCATCAACATTTAAGATAGTAGCAGGACAGAGAAATTTCAGAAACAAATACAGAAAAAGATAGAAGTTACTTTTTAGAAATGCTATCATGTGGATTGAAATTCTGAATTATGAAATACTTTTAAACAAGTTTTATTTTGGAGCTCATGCATCAACAGAAACCAAGTAAAGCATGAACCTTGGGGAATCCTTGGGGAAGCTGGTTTTAATGAGCAGATGAAATTGCTTACAAGTCACATAACAATTTATATGTAAATGGTGATATCTGAAAATCCTGAGCATCACAGGGGTACTTGAAAAGGTTGTCTTTCATTAATAACTTGTGAACATTACCTCTACAATCTTGTTTACATTATTTTTGTCAGAGCGAAGTTAAGTCTCTCCAGCCTGGTATGGCCAGAGTTGGTGCACTTGTTATCTATTGCTGTGTAACAAATTATGCAAAATCCTAGTAGATAAGTATTAGAAGGTGAGGATGACTGGGGAACTTTTCAGAGGGTGGTTGTCACCATTGACACATAGCCTGTCAGTGTCAGTGACAGGCTGTCACTGTCAGTAAGATAGGCCAATCAGGTACTTCTTTCCTGGAATTGATACCTTGAGCAGAATGACAGACTTAGAATGAGGTCCCTCAGGTTGAGCCATGACAATGGTTCTACTTAGAGTTAAGCCATGTTCTTTCTTGGTTCTGTGAACTTCCGAAACTTTTCCAAAATTCTCTGCCTTAAGTTAGTGCAGATCAATTTCTGTTGTTATAACAAAAGACTCCTAACTGAAAAGAGGATTTCAGTGTAAACTATACTTCAATGTATATGCAATATTGAAATTACTTTCTGTGTATTGTAGGACTATAGAAGTTGGATTTGTCATGTTGGGAAAGGGAGATACTAATAAAGAAGTGTGGAGAAAGCAGCAAGAACCTCTACTGTTAGATTGAACTTGGAGACATCAGCGTAAACTCATGTTGTAACATTCATACACTTCCTTTCTCAACTTATTTGCTTAGAAGACCTAAATCATTCCCAAGTAGTGAAGAGTAAACATACACTTTGAGATTTTGGTTCCTAACTCTGATGTACCACTAAAAGTAATCACAGCTCCTCAGAGAAAGGATGGAGACAGAGAAAATACCAGCTAAGCCTGGAACATGATCAGAGTCAGAAAGTTAGTAAGTTCTCAAAGAATGATGGGGATATGTCAAAATGACATAGGTGTCAGTTTGAATGGTCTCCTCTTGTCCAGATTTGGGTAATTTGAACATTAACGGAGACTCAGTTCTACAACCATCACATTGATAATTGATTAAGGGGAAATTGAAAGGGTTTCAAAGCTAAGGTAAAAGTTGAATGAGAATGACACATGTGCGTGCATGTGTGTGTGTGTACACACATGTGTGAATGTAAATGTGTGCATATATGTGTGTGCATATACACATGCATACACAGAGAGTGCCAAAAAATGTACACATTTTAAGAAAGGAAAAAACTGCATTAAAATTGTAATACTCAAGTCACGTTTTACTTATACAATTACAAGAGGTGCTCAAGCAGGACTTGTATTCATCTTTTGTTATTGGTATATATTGTGTATTGCAATTTTAATACAGTTTTTTCCTTTCTTAATTTTTTTAACCTTCTTTACACGTATAGTGATAATATATCTCCCCTCAAAATTCTTATTAGTTATACAGGGAAAAATAGTATCTTACAATGGACAATCCTGGTCAATTTCATCTTATCAGTGTGATGAAGGGCAATAGGACTGGTAATGGAACAGAAGTTTCATCATATGTTTCCTAATATGATGCCCTGTGAATACAGAATCACTTCTGGGGTACTTTGCTAAAAATGTATTCCATGAATCTAATCAGGAAGAAGAATCACACAAAATCAAATTGAGGGACATTCTATAAGATAACTGGCATGTATTCTTTAGAAATGTCAAGGGCAAGAAAGATGAAGGCTAAGGAATAGTTTCAGACTAGAGAGAGCTAATGAAATGTGACAACTGAATGGTGTACCTGCACCTGGTTGGATTCTGAGCAGGGGAAAAGTAGCTATAAAGGCCATATTGGGATATTAGCAAAATTTGAATATAGTTTGTACATTGTATAATAGCATTCTACCAAGTTTTCTGATTTTAGCCATTATGTGACATAATGTCTTTGCTTTTAGGAAATGCACACTATTTAGGAGAAAAGGGCATCAGGTCTCCAATAGACTTTCAGAAAAACATGAGAAAGAGAGTGAATGGTAAAGCAAATGGGGCCACATATTAACAAGCCTGCATGAAAAGTCTCATATTAGTTTGCAATTGCCACTGTAACAAACACCACAATGTAAGAGCTTGGTTCTGTGGGTCAGAAGACTGGTGCGGTATGGCTGGGTTCTCTGCTTAGGGTCTCATGCCTGGATTAAATAAAGAGATTAGCAGGCTGCATTCTTTTAAAGAAGTTCTGGGGAAGAACCAGCTTCCAGGCAGAAGGCAGGTCTTTGCCATTGTAGGATTGAGGTCCCCATTTCCTTCACTTATGCCCTCCATCTTCAAGCCAGTAGCAGCACACAGAGATCCCCTTATACTGTGCTTTGAATCTCTTAGGGCTGTGTGATCACTTTGGTCCTACCTGAATAGCTCAGGCTATACTCTCTCTCTTAAAATCAACCAATTAATCTAAATCACATCTGCAAAATCTCTTGCTGTATAATTAGTGTGACATAACCATGGGTGTGGACTCCAGGGTCCTAGGGCCCTAATGTCTGCCTAATGCAGGTCACAGGAGTTTTCTGTACTCTTCTCTCCAACTTTAACAGAAATTTGAAATTTTATCTGAATAAAATATAATAAAGATTCATATGCATTGCACAGGTATTTGGAAGATGTCATTATAGCACTGTTCATGACTTGGGTGGTTTCCCTCCTAACAGCGCTGGGTATGTTTTTCTCCTTATTATCTCCCAGGCCACCACCAAATCAAGCAAGGGACCTGTGAGGTGGTCGCCGTGCACAGGTGCTGCAATAAGAATCGCATAGAAGAGCGGTCACAGACGGTGAAGTGTTCCTGCTTCCCGGGACAGGTCGCTGGCACCACTCGGGCCCAGCCTTCTTGTGTTGAAGGTAAGACCCATCTGGTCAGCTTCTTCAGTATTTCAAAGGGGTCCAAAACTAGCAAGAACCTCCCTACTTTCCTGTCTTTGCAACCTCAAGAAATACTTTGATGTCTGTATCATTCCCAAACTCCAAACATTTATTGATAAGTAAGGTGAAGTCTTTAACAATGACTCTTAAGGGTGCCAGTGGGGAGTTCTGCTATAGGACAGTTGGGAAGAGGAGCTTCAGTTCCTTTCTGCCTGTCTCCAAATCTCATCTGTTTCCCCAGATACTGTCTTTTTCCTTCTCCTACAACCTGTACTCAAAATCAGTAGTGTGGCTTTCGCACCTCATGTGCAGTGTTATAAGGTAATATCCCTCCCCCTTTTTAAAATGTCCAAACTCAGGAAATTTATTTTTATGTTATCCTTTGTTCAGACTGAATCAACATTATCATACTAGGATTTTTAATAACTGTAAAAAGAAGCCAATACTTTAGCATTTCTTAGAATCATCCATTCAAATTAATTGTGCTTACTATTCGATAACAAAATTCAAAGAACTTACAGAAAAAAATAAAGCTGGAGAAAGGGAACACTATTCTAAATCTGACTCTGATGATCCAACCTCATGCTCCCTTCACATCTGCTGAGAATGAACAAAACAAGTCTTAACATATTTCGTAGTTAATGATATAGGCTTAAAAAGCATTCACAATAAAAGTAATAAAATTTTTTTTAAAGTGAAGATTTATAATAGTAAACAAGAATGCTTAATGAAAAGAGTTAAAATAAATTTAACTGGTGTCATGACAGGACCATTAAGTTGGTCTTGAAAAGCAGAAAGCAGATGATGAAATTGCATTTAATTCTGAAGCAATTCAGATCTATCCTATCATCTCTACTCCTTTCTAATAAAATAAGCATTTACAACATGGTTTCTTACCTTCTCCTTAAAAAAAGGCTCAGCATGACCATTTATACATTCTAGTTGGTTTTTAACATTTGGTTGTAACTGATAAACAGGGTCACACTATTTTACCCTATTGAGTCTGTTGATCTGTATCAAATTGCCTTATGCCAGAATCGGACAGAATACTCGGAATTGCTGTTATCATCCATTTTGGCACTAACAAAGTCATTCTCCCATTCCAGCTGGTTGGAATCGTCAGAGGCTGAGGTAGGATCACTCCCAGACTTGCTGCTGTACTTAAGCACCGCCCGGAGACCGGCTTCCTCTGTTTTGGACCTTTCTCTCATTGGAAGCATTCTATTCATACCTTCTTCATCTTCCCGGTCGGGATCTAGGGATGTGCTGTCGTCATTTCCACTAGTTGATTTAGTTTTGGTCATTAAATCACAACTGCTTTCTGTATTTGGTGTCAAAACTGTGGCATCTGATGGCAGTCTACTACTTCGAAAAACTTCATACTGTGACTTTCCATTTCTCAAACAAGATTCAAAGTCATCTTCTGGTCCTGAACTTTGATATTCTCCATTGTTGTGAGAAGGATGAGAGATCGTTGCACAATTCTCTGCCTCTCTTGCTCCAAGAGCTTTCGCGGCTTTGCTGCCCTGGCTGCTTCACGCTGTGCAGCGTGTAAAGCTCCTTCTTCTAGTCTTAACTTCTCTTCTTGTAAGGCTAACTCATTTTGAATTCTCTTATCAAGATCTTTCTGTTTTTCAGCAATAGAATCATAATGTCTCTCTCTTAGGTCAATAATTTCTTTCTCAGTAAGAGGCCTATGACTGCTTCCTGGGCTCTCCCCTTCATCACTTTCTACTAGGCTCTCAAACTCTATAGTTAGTGCTCACCTCTTCAGCATGTTCTAAAATACTTGGATCCTCCGCCGCCTCCTGCACGTTGCAGCTTCCCGGCTTCCTTGCAAAGCAGCCCAAAGCACTGTGTCCAGCAGCAGGTCCCCATCGCATGCCCTCCAGGCGCCGTCATTCCTTCTCCAGCTCAAAGCCCAAACCCAGGCTAGGCAGCTGTATCCGCGCGGCAGGAGCCCCAGCAGGATTCGGGGACAGAGGCTGGCCAGCCACAAAGCAGAGCAGCAGCGTGAGGGGTGGTGGCGACAGGAGGGATGATGAGGCACTCGAAAGCAAGGCAGTGGTTAGTCCAGTGAGAGCAGAGCCGCCTCCGCGGGAGGCAGGAGCGCGGGACTGGACTGCAGGCTGTGGACTCCCTCGCCGACCGCATGGCCCCTCTCGCCTCAACCCCGAGCCCAGCACGAGTGACCGCCTCCAGCTGCCGAAGGAGGCCAGACCCCGCGAGTCGTCGTAATATCCCCTTTGTTTAGTTTCTTATTTCTTACAAATGTTCCTAGAACATTGTCTTTGGAGCAGCTTCCCTGAGAATAGTTTGAGATCATGTATCATTCATTTGTAGTTTCTGAATCCCTCCTCAGAGTCCTGGGGTAATGGTTAAAAAATATATGTGAATGAATGTTGATGGTTGTAGGTGATGGCCTGGGATTGATTCCTTTTGATGCCCTGGGCTTCTTCCAGCAGACACCTTGTTAGAAACAAGTATTAGTCCCCAGGGAAACTGACACACAAGTTAGCCCTGTAGCAGTTTCTCTGCAGTAGCAAGAAACCTCCCTGAAAGTGAATGTTTTCTGTTTCATCTGATGCATGTCTAAAGGTCAGCAGTTAAAACACAAGCACCTACATATTGTTAACTCTAGGTCTTATTGTACCATTAACAATGCTGATCCACCTCCATTCCACCTTCCTACATACACATTTATACATACACAGACAAACACAGATGTGGACTCTGTGGTCACAGAGTAGGCATCAGAACCATTTGAGTCACCTTGAAAAGCAGGGAGAATGAAAGTGGGAAATATCCCACTACCTTTCCTTATCAGAAGCCCTGGGGGCCAAATGTGTTGCTGAATTCAGATTGTGTTTGTGTTTTACGTGGGTAGCATAGGCATCATCTACCATCTATCACCTAACCTAATGTGTTCCCCACTTGTACCATCATCCTAGATGCTACTATTTCTGCAGTAAACGATATGAGTAATCATGCAGAATGGGGTGAGGCACCACAAAGAACCTCATGTTCATTCAAGTCAGGTTTTGGATTCCGAGCTTTTTGGATTTGGAGATTATTGATAAAAGATTATGGTCCTATAAAAGATGATGAAGATATTTACCATGAAAAAATAATGCATTTAAATTTGCTAAGTTTCAATATCCCCAGTGTAGTATATTTATCTCCTCCATTAACTGAATCCAAATCAAACTCATTCTGTCTCTTTGCTTTCTCTCAAATCAGCCCACTTCTCCCCTTGCCCCATGCCACCTCCCATGTAGGCGTCAACACCACGGCTTGTTGAGCTCACTACCCCTGGTCTTCCATTTTCCACCCATAGCTAGAATGGTCCTTCAACAGAAGAACAGAACTAATAGTGTTGCTCTCTCATTGAAAACCATGCGACTTTCTGGGCAGTGCCTGAGGCTCAGGGAGTAGGGCCAGCCCCATATGCTGGGGGGTGGCGGGTTCAAACCCGGCCCTGGCCAAAAACTGCAAAAAACCTCCACAAAACCACATGACTTTCCACTGTCATTAAGACAAACCCCGAATTTTTTGCCATGTCCTATGGGGACCTGCATCATTTGGCTTTCTCAGTCCTGTCTTTCAACTCTTCTAGCCCAGGCAGACCAGGATTCTTTTCATTCTCTCTTATCTCTGCACATTGCTTCTCCGTATCTGCCCAAGTCACTGCCCTCCTCCCTATAACACACCCTTGATCTACTTAATTCTTCTTCTCCTTTCAAACCTCCTAAATAGTCTCTTGTCATCCTGGACTTCCAGTTCATGACATTCATCATGTAAAGATATTTTTTATGTGGCTGTGTGTGGTGGCTGACACCTGTAATCCTAGCTCTTTGGGAGGCTGAGGCAGATGGATCACTAGAGGCCAAGAGTTCAAGACCAATCGGGGCAACATAGCAAACACTTTCTCTACAAAAAATTTAAAAAATGCCTGGGCCCAGTTGTGTATATCTATAGTCTTAGCTGCTTGGGAGGCTGAGGTGGGAGAATCGCTTGAGCCCAGGAGTTCAAGGTTATTATAAGTGTGATCACACCATTGCCCTCCACCCTGGGTGACAGAGCAAGATCTTGTCTCAAAAACAAAACAAAAACCCCTATTGATTACTTATATGTCTTCCCATTACTGTGTAAGCAGCTGGAGGGTAAGGACTGGGTCTCTTATTTTCATTTCCCCATCAGGGCCCATGAAATTTTTAGCACAGGGGAGAATTGACTTGTCTTTGCTAATCACGGATGGCTGTGAAGGTAGCAGCTGTGTTTGCTTGCCTCTGTAGGCTTTAAGGAATTTATGATTCATAACATAACAATTTGTATACTCTGTCTAGCTTGGAATCTTTGAATATAAAAAGTATTGAATATAAATAATGTTTTACAATATTGAAGCACTTGTATTAGTACCTGAAAAGTACTGATAGGGTAAGGAATAACTATTAGTATCTTTATTATAGTGAAGAAAATACACTAAGCTAATCAGCTTGTTTTAAATTTTCTATATGGGCAAAACCCTTTAGGCCTCTACCCTGATGGTAAGTACATTCATCTTTTGGTCAATATATTTTTCTATATATTTATGTACCATATTTGGGTATAGCTCTATAGAAGTTGATAGCTCTGGTAAATTTCAATATGAATGTGTGTTCTACATAAACAGTATTACATTGGATGTTTCGTAACTTCTTTTTTCTTACGAGTATTAGGTTACAGAGATTTTTGTGTACCAGCACATACTGATCGAACTTGGCTTTTTCAACTGTTCCAGAGCACTCCCTTCGGTGGACAGGCCATGATTTATTTAGCCATTCTTCTGTGGATGGCCATTTTTGTTGTGTCTATGGCAAAGAGAAAAGATTCACATGCTAAGTGGTTTCCCTGCTGTTATAAGATCAGTAAATGATTACAGATCAGTCACTTTGCATCTGACCAGAGTTTTCACAGGACCGTCCAGAAGAACTTTCTGT